ACAAAAAAATGTTCTTTTGAAGTTAAAAAATTCTGTCAAATAATAATTCCAAAACTATTTTTATTATATAATCTGATTCGAATTGAAAAAATTCTAGTCAATTCCTTTTAGATAAAACGATTTTCGAGAAAATAAAAATTCGAAAAAACAAATTTGGAGTTTAATTATGCGCCTCGATTTCTGTTGATAAAGAATTTATTAGAAATTATATACAAAAATTGAATTTTAAAAGTTTTTAATTGAAAAATGCTTTCAGATAATTAAATTTTCGAAGAATATTATAAAAATCATTAAAAATAATTGAAATTTTTGCAAAAATAATTAAATTTCAAATGATTTTGAATTAAAAAATTAATTATATTTGCTAATTTTTTTTTAAATTATAAAGTTATTAAATTCCATAAAAATTTTAATTGAAAAATAGTTTAGGATAATTGAATTTGTGAATAATTTCATTAAAATTATTAAAAATAATTAATTTAGTGAAGAATTTTAGTTAAAAATTTGTTAAATAATTGAAATAAAGAAGATCTGCATTAAATACTGAAAAAACGTATTTTTTGTTTAAAAATTTCTCATTTTATTAAAATAAGTCGGAAAAAGTAGTATAATCCGAGACCTGAAATAATTATATAATTTCATAGAATTTTAAAGTGTATCTTTAAAATAGCAAAATATTATTTTTATTAAATTTTTTTTTGTAGAAGATATTCTATTTATCACAATTTTAATTAGATCGAATTATTTTTTATATAACTTTTTATCTTACCGCCGACTTTAAATTCTCAATCCATTGAATACGAACTTCATAGATTTCTTATTCATTGGAATTACTTTTCTTACGAATTTGGAAGCAATTATGTGCCCTCGTTAAAGAAACTGAGTTTACGAAAAAAAACGGTTTATTGTGATTTTAGCTATATATATATATATATATAAATAAATAACGGATTTTTTTCATGATAAAAGTTGTATCTCAGTTTTTAAGCTAAAAAATTCTTTTTTCTTAATTACATTTCATATAATTTCACACCAAAATGAAAGTTTAAACTGAATAAAATTAGTTAAATTGAAATTTTCACGGCATTTTTTTACTATAATTTTACTGGAAAATATATTATATATATATATACTTACTGTAAAGAATACATGAGATATTATCTTACATATATTATATACAAATAATATAAATTTTTCAAATATTTCTAACTATAAAAATGTTCATATCATTTTCAAAATAAATTAACAGATATTTTACAATTTCAACTTTTATACATGTGGAAATCGAAAGTATAACGTATATTTTGTAAATTTCTAGCTACTGAAAACGGACGCTAGAAATAAAACGTATACTCTCGTTTCACTCTATTCAATTTTTGTGGTAAATTATAAATATTTAATGCACTTTATATTTATTTAAAAATAATAAGATTAAATGTTAATAAGTTAATATTAATACAGTAATAAACTTTTATTATAAAAAAAAGACGCTACGCCATTTTCTACTCACCACAATTAAATGGATTAAATATGCGCATGTGCAGAAAACCATCGCCATCTTTAAGCTGTTTCTACAATATATGTTTTTCACCAACACGCTCCAATGACCGCAAACGTCTGTTTACGACGATGCTGTTAATTTTCATGGAGCATTTACACATTTAATAAAAAAAATTTTTCACTTTCATTTTCCGAAATGCAAAAATTTAATTGGTTGTCCATTATTTTAAGGCCTTTCTCCAATATGTCCGAGAAACAAGTGCAAATCCGAGTGCCTCGGACTTTGTTGCGCGCGCATCGTGTTGACATTAATTTTTTTAAGATAATTGATGGTAATTACACATTATTAGTTAATTAATTTTTAAATTATTTATTAATTACTCGGAAAGCCTAAACTACAAGAGTGACAGAGATAGTGATATCTTTTCATTTCTTTTACTCATAGTTTACGCTTTCCGCCGCCGCTTTTACGCCAAAAATGGAGAGGAACCTTTAAGGTGAAATCACATGGTGGCGTAAAGCGTCAAATTATGTAACTAAACCATGAGTGCGAAAAGGACAAATATATATTATATATCTTTATCTCTTTCAAACTCTACCTGTAGTAAGAAAATTTTACTTTTAAGTCGGTATTTACATGCTTGCGTTCGAACGCTGCGTTTTACGTTGAACAATGAGTGTAATAAGGATGAAAGTATACGTCTATCTTCCCCTCTCTCATTATACAACGTAAAACGCAGCGTTCAAACGCAAACATGTCAACACCGCCTAAGGTTGGTTCCACAATGGGCTCGACGCAAGGCAAACGCAGCGTTGACGCGACGCATCCCCATTTGGCTGGTTCCAGAATGGGGCCAAACGCAACGCAAACGCGACGCAGCCGCATTTGCTTAGGTTGGTTCCACAATGGACTCGAGGCAAGGTAAACGCAGCGTTGACGCGACGCATCCCAATGCTAATCAAATGGGGATGCGTCGCGTCAACGCTGCGTTTACCTTGCGTCGAGCCCATTGTGGAACCAACCTAAGCCCATGAGCATGAGAACGAAAAAGATACTGAGATATATTCATCTCTTTTGTTCTCATGCTTTCCGCTTTTACGCTGGCGTGGAACGGCGCCATAACGCCTCCATGTAATTTTACCCTTAAAGTTAGCTTAAGGCCTTTCTTCAATAGGATTCTAACAGCATGCGTTACGTTTGCATTGATTTTTGCATAGGTTGTCAGATAGGCAACGGAAGTTTAACACATGCTGTTAGGAGTCTATTGAAGAAAGGACTTTAAGCTGTGTGATTGGTTTCGGCCTATAAGCACAAGGCCGTTTCCGAATTGGAAATTTTATCGCACTTTTTGATAAAGTGTATACTCAGGAAGTATGCAGTGTCGTTGTTTTTCCGTGCGAAAAAAAGAACACTGCATACTTCCCAAGTATACATTTTATCAAAAGTGCGACAAAAATTCCAATTCGGAAACGGCCTATGAGTGAGGACAACCGTCTTTAATTGTGCGTTGAAAAACGGTTGCGCGAAACATTGTGGTAACCGTTTTTTCAACGCACAATAAAAACGATTGCGGGAACTTACATATCCTGAATCTGACTTGTATACTCGACTCAGTTAGGTATTATACCTTGTGACGTCAGAGGCTAGTGACGTCGATCGCTGGAGGGACAACAAGCTACTTTTGTAAAGAGAACGATTTGAAGTTAACCTCAAATTCTTAGGTATGACAGCTACTCGTCTAATGATATTGTTTGTTGTCTCTCTAGCGATCGACGTCAATAAGGCCTGAGCAGAATAGAAACATAATCGCAATCGTAAACGGAAGAATGTGTTAGAGAAGGATAGTCATATATTGTTGTTCTTCTCTTACTAATTCTTCCGTTTGCGATTACGATTCCCATTACGTTTCTATTGTGCTTAGGCCTTTAGCCTCTGACGTCACAAGGTTTAACCTATTTGTGTTTAGGCCGTTTCCATTGTTCCTACTCGCCAAATCTCCACTCGCCGTTTGTCATAATTCTCGTCAACTACCGCACCCTGCTCTAGTGAAAATTTCGTGACCTTATGGTTAGAGAAGGATATGCATATATTATTGTCCTTTTCTAACTCATTCTTCCCTTTTGCGATTGCGTTCCTTTTTAAAACTGGTTCTACATTTTTTCCTCTTCTAATTCACGTATTTTTATGGCAACACGTATGTAAAACAAGGTCAGAAAAGGGAAGGTTCTAATATGATAAAGTCAGTAGCAGCAAATAAGAGGAATAGATTTCAGCCAATCAGTCGATTTGCAGGGAATTTCTTAGGGGCTATTCACAAAAACGTAACGCTTCCAGGGAGGAGGGAGGGTCAAGCTATTTGTTACGGTCAACCAAAAAAAAATGTCGCTAATATATGTAACTGTGCGTAACATAGGGAAAAAGAGGAGTGAAATTTCCAAAAAAAGCGTTACATATTTTGTGAACAGTCGCAGTCCCTTAATCGCCTGATTGGCTGAAATATATTCTTCGAATCTGCAAATTTTCTCCCTGTGACTGTACCCTAAAGGTGCTTTTAAACCTCTGGAGGCGGTTCCAAAATAGGTGCAACAGCCAAGTACAAGTGCAAGTCCGAATGCAAATCCCATCCCATGAGTGCAAAATAGATAGATAGATTACCTATCTCTTTCGCACTCGTGAAATTGCCACTTGGACTTGCACTTGGCTTTTGCATCTATTCTGGAACCGCCTTGGTATTGGAAACCGCAGAGCTGCGATATGCCATCTGGTGTCGACCCACTTGCGGTAGCCATTTTTTATTTTGTCTCTGTCTAATATATGTATAAAGAAAGAGACAAAACAGCAAGATGGTTGCCGCAAGTGGGTTCAGGGTTGAGTAGTTACACAAGATTTCGGATCCCAATATTGATCAAGCCAAGAAGACTAGAACAAGGAGAGCAAAGTACAGTGGTGGGGATGGAAGAGATAGTGTGCCTAACAGTAGGCTGTCCAACGAAATTTTGATACATGACCGTGAGACAAATTTCAGTATCTGCGCATATTAACACATGCATATTTTTATATCGTTGATTTGTTTTCCTGGGTTTGTTTAAAATATAAATATGTTTTCACTGCAGAAAAGGGAATAAATGTTTTATTTCGAATATAATAAGATTGTACTATTTGAGCTTAGTTCACTCTCCTTGTTCTAGTCTTCTTGGATCAAGCGATCGGTAGGATTGAATTTTCAACAGTCGTGTCATTTAATTTGATTGGCTGTACTAAAGATTCGATTATTTCCACAGTTCTAATATTGAGAAAACAGAAAAATGAAATTTATTGTACAGACAATCAAATTCAGTGATACAACCGTGAAAATTCAATCCAGCCGATTGCTTGATCAAAATACTGGAGGTATAAAAGCACCTTTAAGATTGAATTGTGCGTTAGCCATTTCGTCTTCGTGTGATTTTACCTTAATTTAACATTTCGGATGTTCTAATCAAAATTACCCCTTCTACTAAAGTGTGTTCTTTGTTTATCTCCTTAACACATTCCCAACAGTGGAAGCGTACATAATATATAATTTAATGTTCAGTTAAGTGTTTTTAATGTTAATTAAACGTTAATTAAACGTTAATTAAACGATATTTAAGGATAACTTTATCTCTTCGTTCAAAACGTGAGAAAGGTGATTTTTAATTTTTATTTTTTTTCATTATATTCTCTTTTTTGACTAACCAAAAGTGTCTTTATAGTAGTATGTCCAAATAATACGAAATAATAATAATAATAATATCATCAAAGGTAAAATGTTTACAAATCACTTTTGTTTTCAAATAAAATGAAAATTAAATTACCTATATAAATACAGTGATTTCTAGTTAGATATTTAACGACAATTTTTTGTGTTTTATTTTCTGAAAACTGATAATTTGTTTACTACTTTTTACGTGTTTTACCTCTTTCCCATTATTTAAATCCTCTAATAAAGATTTCCATATAATAAAATTTCTAAATATTATTAATGTGATTCCTCGCTAATATTTTAGATATTTTTTTTTTCTAAACAGAGACGTAAGGAAGAATCCAACACTGAATTATTAAGTGAAAAGTAATTCGAACTTTATATTTTTATATTTTAAAATAAGAGGTTAAAATTTTTAATTCGAAAAGTTTTTTTTTCATTTAAAGTATGTTTAGTCAAATTTACATTTTTAAATATTTGAAAATAATGATTATTTGCAATATGAGTAAAAAAAAAATTAAAAGTTTCGGAAAGTAAAAAAAAAAGTAATATTTATAAAAATTTAAGTTTTTGTTGGGTGCAGTTCCGAATAGCACATACCTCTGATTTCGATAAAACTTGGTATCCCTACGTAATTTGGTGCGCTGATTACGAAAATCATAGTGAAAATTGGCGGAAATTTAATTATCATGGTAAAAACCATAAAAAACACCATAAAATCATGGTTTTTTTCGATTATCTCGTAAAAAACAAAAAACTTCGAAAAAAGTTTTAGACGAAAGTTGTAGATCTCTAAAAAACACACATTTCATGTTTTATGCATTTTTTACCAAAAGTCATTATTTTTCGAGAAAAACGCAAAATAGTAAACACGGCCTTCGGCCGCGTAAGGTACTGCTCGCTTCTCTTTTTAAGAAATCTTGGCGAGAGGGGGTGGATGTGTCCGAAAGTAATTTGCAGAAATTATCATATTCACCATTACTCAGGATCCAACGAATTCCGCAAAATACTTTCGGCCATATCCACCCCCTCTCGCCAAGGTTTTTTTAAAAAGAAAAGCGAGCAGTACCTTACGCGGCCGAAGGCCGTGTTTACTATTTTGCGTTTACCGCTGCTGTAGACTCCACCCCACAATTTCTGCAAATTACTTTCGGACACATCCACCCCCTCTCGCCAAGATTTCTTAAAAAGAGAAGCGAGCAGTACCTTACGCGGCCGAAGGCCGTGTTTACTATTTTGCGTTTTTCTCGAAAAATAATGACTTTTGGTAAAAAATGCATAAAACATGAAATGTGTGTTTTTTAGAGATCTACAACTTTCGTCTAAAACTTTTTTCGAAGTTTTTTGTTTTTTACGAGATAATCGAAAAAAACCATGATTTTATGGTGTTTTTTATGGTTTTTACCATGATAATTAAATTTCCGCCAATTTTCACTATGATTTTGGTAATCAGCGCACCAAATTACGTAGGGATACCAAGTTTTATCGAAATCAGAGGTATGTGCTATTCGGAACTATATCCTTTTTGTTTTTATCTTAATCGTTCACTATTTTCTGAAAGAAAATTTCAAATTTCAATATTCAAAAACAACTTTTCAATGCTTTAATATATTATTAAAAATTAAATTTTCTCCTTTGTGTTGTTTTAAATTTAAAAATTAAATTTTTCTTTTTTTTTTAAATACGAAAATTTAAAGTTAGATTCCGATTAATAGCCGATTTTTTTCGTAAGGTAGAAAAATAATTTTTTTTTTTTGACTAAATTTAAGTGAGTTTATTTTTCTTTTATACTTATAAATAAAAGGAAAAAATAACGGTAAATTTTTTATGAGACTTATTACCGATATTTTGAAATTAAATTTTTAAATTATATCAAATTTAAATTTTTCTAATATTTTTTTTGGAATTTCGAAAAAATTTAAATTTAATATAATTTAAGGTATTTGGTATAAAAATATTTACCGGAAATTATGGAACAAAATACGCGATTTTTTCAGTTTTTTTTAATCACCAAAAATTCTAAATTGTTAATATTGTTTCATAATTGCCGGTAATAATTCCATAATTTTCGGGTATACTGAGAAAAAAAAAATTTATTTGATTTAAAAATACTCAATTACTTGACTATTATCAAATAAATATTTACTTGAATCAAATAATTTTTATTTGAATTAAATAAATTTTATTTTTGAACCAATAAATTCTGTATTTGAAACAAATACCATTTAATTGTTTCAAGTATAATAATTACTTATTTGACAATAGTCAAGTAATCGAGTATTTAAATCAAATAAATTTTTTTTTTTCAGTGTAATTATAGAAAAAAAAAATTGTTAATTTAATTGTTGAATCAAGTATAACATACTTTTCTTTTAGTTATGAAGAAAACTTTTTATTTAGAGTAAAATAATAAAAGAAAAAAAAATTTTTAACAACTTTTATTAAATTCGGAGAAATTCATGGATTTTTGCAATTTTTTTTTTTTGAAATAAACTTTTCATTTTTTTGAAATTTGACAATTTTTTTTTCTCGTTACCAGTGGCAATGAAAATAAAAACATTTGAGTTACTTTGTAGACAAAATATTAAACTATTATTTAAAACAAGAACCAAGTTGAAACAATTGTAAAAAAAATTTTATAATAAATTTTTTGTTAAACACATGTCATTAATTGTGTTTATTAATTTAAATTATTAATTTTCTGTAAATTAATAAATTATTAATTTACTGTAAATTAATAATTTTATTGATAAATTTAAAATTGTTAGATTAGTTTAAAAAATCTATTCAATAATCTTCTAATTAATCCCAATAAATATTTTATTCGAACTTGAAAAAAATTAAAGTAAAAAAATAAAAATTCAATTTTTAAACCTACAATTTTTTTAAAGAAAAAATTTATTATATTAATATTTATTTATTTATATTTTACTAATTTTAGTTATTTATTTATTATTTTTGTTTTTAAAAAAAAATCAATTAAGACATTTTGTTTTTTTAAATTAAAAAACATGTCTTTTTGAACAATCCTGTTTTACATGGAATGTATACTGCACTAGTGGCGTCATCTGCGACTCCGTTCTCTTTTTAAAAAAAAGGCGGTGCAACCATGCACTTATAGAAGCTTGCGTGGGAGTTCCCCGCCATATGTCTCTGTTATCTTACATTGCATTGCCACTCTAATCTGTATAATGAGTAATTTTTTCTGTTTAAATGAAAAAATTTTTGAAAGATTTTTTATTATATTATAAATATTTATAATTATTATAAATATAATTATTATTATAATAATATAATTATTTATAAATATAAAAAAAATAATATAATAACAAATAATAATAATACTAATATAAAAATATAAATAATAAGGGATTTTATAAATACAAATTTTATGTATATTTTTATTTAGGATATTTATAATTTTTTAATTGTTTTAACCCTTAACTGGCACCATGGGTCCAATAGACCCGAGCCTTTTTTTTTATCAATTCTGTAATTGTTTTTTCGAATAAAATCGCACGAATTACGATTAAAATTCATGACGATTTTTGTTTCAAAACGCCACACGAATTTAGAAACAAAATAACAATTTAAAACGAATTCAGAATGAATATTCCAAACGATTTTTGTACGAATCATTTTCACCTAGGAACATCCGATTTGAATAAAACAAACTCATACCATACCCCCTAGTTAAACTTTCTTTTTTAATTTTTTTTTTGTTTTAACCCTTAACTTGCACCATGGGTCCAGTAGACCCGAGTATTTTTTCTCGCTCAAATTAATTGAATTTGAATATTTTTTATATTTTAATACACTAGTTTGACATATATTAGTAATTTTCTAAGTTTTTTGATACAACTAATTCGATACAAAAAAATAAATTAGCTTCAAACATTAATAATTATAAGTTTTTAATTTTAACATAAAAAGTCACATTTCATTCTGCAAAATAAATACCTTTTTTGCAAGTTCTGCTGTTGTAATTTTTTCCTTAAAGAATGATAGTATAATCTTAAATTTTTAAGTGATAATATTAAAATTTAAATAACTCATGAATTTTTAAGTAAAAATAACGCACAATTTTTTGGTTTTTATTTTTCACAATTTTTTTTTAAATTAACTTAAAATAAATTAATCCCTGTAAAACTAATGAAATTTAAAAAAAACACATCATAAGCAACCTCAGATTAAATTTTTGTGCAAAAATATTCAATACCGGCTGTACAATACACTTTTGAATAGGATCAGCCCGTACGAATAGCGAATCTATCTGGACCAAAATCACAGCTCAAAATGTATTGAATTGATTTTTATGAAACTTGGTATCTAGGTGTTTTCGGGGTCGCTGATTACGAATTTGATGTCAGTTTTTAAAAATTCAAAATGGCGGATCCAATATGGCGGACGACTTTCTTAAAAATCGATCCAATCTGCTTGAAAATCGTTACTCGGGAGTTTTCGGGGTCGCTGATTACGAATATGATGTCAATTTTTAAAAATACAAAATGGCGGATCCAATATGGCGGACTATTTTTAAAAAATTCGTTCGATTTTCATAAAACTTGTTATCTAGGAGTTTTTGGGGTCGCTGATTACGAATTTTATGTTGGTTTTTAAAAATTTTAAATGGCGGATCTAATTTAGCAAACAAATTTTATTTAAATTGATAAATTTTTATTAGGCTTGGTATTTTAAAGGTTTTTAGGATTTTTTATTAAGAATTTGAAGTCATTTTTCAAAAATTAAAATTAGTGTTTACGCATTATATATTATTTTTATGAATTTATTTACAATAAATTATTCAAAGCATCTTCCAGTTAATGTAAACAATGAAATCATTCTTTAAATTTTAGAATATAATAATTAATTATAAATAGAATTGATTTATTAGTGCTTTTAAAAATTGACATCAGATTCGTAATCAGCGACCCCAAAAACCCCTAGATAACGAGTTTTATGAAAATCGAACGAATTTTTTAAAAAGTTGTCCGCCATTCTGAATTTTTAAAAATTGACTTCAGATTCATAATAAGCGACTAAAAATACCCATAAGTACTAAGTATCAGAAAATTTTAGTCAGTAGATATGCTAGAACGATATTTAATATTTAAGCCATATTTGTCACCCGAAAGTTCAAAATGAAAATTTAAAAAAAGGAAGTAAAAGGAAGTTACATATAAAGCATAATCTAACACAATAATAAGTACTCTATACGTCAAAAAAAGTTTTACAACGGGCCAGCACAGGCCAGAAAAGTTCTGGTCCTTCGAAGTGAATAAAATATTTGTTAACTGTAATTTTTCACGAAAACTAAAATGCCGTGAATGGCAATGTTTAAATTGCTTTGAAATAAAAAATATAATTTTTTCCCGGAAACTAACATTCATACGTTAATGTAGAACAACTAAACATACTATTCCTATAGTATTTATATTTTTTGAAGACACAAAAATTTTGAATTTTGTCCAGCTAGATTCGCAATTCGTACCACTGTGAGCCGGGGTAAATCCGAACGCTAATTATTTCAGCTTAATTAAAATTTTAAAAAATAAGTTAGACATGAGAATTTTTACCTCAGATGTGAATACTAGAACAGAAACTATTTTTGATTTTTGCCTTCTGTAAAATTTTATTAATAATATCAGACCGTTCGTATTTACCCCGGAAAATTGGAAAACCGGGGTAAATCCGAACGGTATTTTCAATAATTTTTTCTTATTTGATTACACTATTATTTTAACATTATAAAAGTACATAGAAAAAAGTTTTTCTTTCTATATGTATCCTCGTTAGTAATTAATAAGCAGAAACTTAATCTCTGTTCTCTCGAAGGAGTGTTCCACTTTTTTTTGCCAAATGGTTTGTTGAAAAAAAGTTTTTCAGGATCTTAATAAAATTTGGTATTCTAGAGTTTTTGGGGTCGCTGATTACCAATTTCAAGTCAGTTTTTCAAAATTCAAAATGGCGGACGAGAATTAAAAAATTCATTGGATTCGCTCGAAAATTGTTACTCGGGGGGTTTCAGGATCGCTGATTACGAATTTGGAGTTGGTAAATTTGATCATTTTTAAAAATAAGTTTTAGGAAAGTCCGTCATTTTGAATTTAAAAAATTTCACTTTTATTTTTGTATTTACATTCAATCACTCCAAAATACTTTCTGTAGCAAGTTTTGCAAAAATCCGTTATGATTTGATAAAGTTATTGAAGGTTTTAATTGTGTAATGCATTTTAATTTTTAACCTGTTTGATTTTTGTATTTATATATGATGCATTATTACATAATAGGTTTATTATCGTATTTTTTTTTGAGTTTTTATATAAGTTTAACAATTGCAATACTTTAAATTTATTTTCCCTAAGATTTTTCTGAAATACAGTCGCGTTCGTATTTACCCCGGTATTTTAGGAAAGTTGCAAAGTATCGAGGTAAATACGAACGCTAAGTTTTCTGCGATTGTAATTTATCAAAAATTTTTGCTACCCCATAAAATTGTTCTATGGAAGTAAAGTAACAACTTCATGCACCAGAATACCGGAAGTATTGTCTTTTAAAAGAAAAAACTTATATTATTGTTGAAACTTATTAAAAGCGTTCGGATTTACCCCGGCTGACCCTACGTCGGGTCCAGCAGACCCGTTGTGCCATTTACGTTCGAATTGTGCCAGTTAAGGGTTTCCATTCTTTTGTACTAAAAATGATTAAAAAAATAAATAAAAAGTGTAAGAAATTATTTGACATTAATTTAGAGGATTTCCGGTATAAAAACAATTTCATATGTATATGTACAATATGAGAAATTGTTTACTGAATATTTTTTTTCACAGATTTCGTTTAAAAATGGAGAATCAAAGGCAAAAAGATTGCGTGTGCGATAGGCCACGTGGATGCGTTTTTTGTCGCAATTGCGGACATTTGGAAGTTGGACGCCTCAAACTTCATTGTCCTTGTCATCCTCATGTTAGTATAACAAAAATCAGTTAGTTTAATTTATTATAAAGAAATATATGAAACATTTCATGTGTATCATCACAACGTTAAAAAATTTATTTATTTTTATATTAAAATAATTTTGTATGATAAAAATAATTAAAGTATACATTATTTAACCGTTACTTATTACTATGGGGTCCAATGGACCCAGTGTAGTAATAAAGTACCAGATTCCAAAGATTAGTGATATAAGTGAGGGTTAAATATTAATAAATGCCAGGCCTCGGATTATATAACTTTTTCTAACTTTTTTTTCGGAAATACATTATTTTTCAATTAAAAATTTTATGAAATTCAATAATCTGTATATAAACAAAAATAAAATATTTCATCGATATTAAGAACAAAAATAAAAACTAAAATTCTAATCCTAATACTTATAAAAAGAAAAAAAAATATTTTTCAATAAACTAATATTTAAAACTAAATTACAATAAAATTTAGTAATTATTTCTAAAAAAGGCAACTGTAACTCTCTCAAAATTTAATGATTTTAAATGATTCTTATAATATTCTTCAAAAATTCAATTATTTGAAATTATTTTTCAATTAAAAATTTTGAAATTAAATTTTTGGTCTGTAATTTCTAATAAATTTTTCATCGTCAAAAATTTCAATTAAAAATCACTTGAAGGTGAATTAATTTCAAAAATCTGAATTGTAACTCTTTGAAAATTCAATTACTTTTAAAAAATTTTATCTTAAATTATTTGATAAATGATTTTTAATTTTGTAAAATTTAATTATTGTCTTGAAATTTAATAAAATCTTTTGAAATTGAATTATTTCTAAAAATTTCAACTATAACCCTTCCAAAGTTCTATTGTTTTTAATTAATTTTAATATTTCTTTTAAACTTTAATTATTTAAAAAAAGTTTCAGATAAAAACTCTAAAATTGAATTATTGTTGATCCGAGGCCTATAATATGCAATTTAAAATTAAAACAAAATATTTATATAATTTATTTAAATAAATTTAATTTTTCTTTTCTCTATTTCAGACAATATTTCTTTACGATGTGTCGAGATGCTCAAAATGTATGAGCCCAGATTTCATGTTGCGTGAAATGAGAAAGTTTCATTAAAACTTGTAAAAAAAAACAAAGTTGCAAAAATCACAAGAGTTTATTTTTTGTTCAATATTTAAATAATATTTAATTTCTTAAAGAATATAGTAAAGTTAAGTTTATTTCGTTGAATAAGATTTACGATATATTTTTCTTTTTAATTAATTCCATTTGCATACACAAATGTACCATTGGATTTAATAATTATAAAAAAGAGTATCAAAAAGTGAATGCCTTAAATTGAAATTGCCTTGTTTTTTTTTCAAAATCCCGATTAAAAGTAAAAAATTTCAACAAATTTTACACAATTAAATATTACTGGATTATTGTGAAAAATTAGTTTAAACATTTTTTTTCTCAATAATAATTTTATTATCGAATTTAAAAAAAAAATTTACAGCAAAAATTACGAGCGTAATTCCTCTCAAAGAAAAGGTCCGAAATTCGTACAGAAAATTGAACCTGAATTTCAAAAAAAAATTTACCGTAGATATTACTGGCAGAATTTTATTCGAAATTCCGTGTGGAATAATTTTTTTTTTTATGAATTCTGTATTTGTTTTTCCGAATAAAATCGCACGAATTACGATTAAATTAGAGACGATTTCTGTTTCAAAACGCCACACGAATTTAGAAACGAATTAACAATTTAAAACGAATTCAGAACGAATTCCAAACGATTTTCGTACGATTCATTTTCACATGGGAACATTCGATCTGAATAAAAGAAACTCATACCATACCTCCTAATTAAACATTCTTTATTAATTTTTTTTTTTGTTTTAACCCTTAACTGGCACCATGGGTCCAGTAGACCCGAGAATTTTTTCTCGATCAAATTAACTGAATTTGAATATTTTTTATATTTTAATATATTAGTTTGACATATTAGTAATTTTCTAAGTTTTTTGATACAACTAATTCGATACAAAAAAATAAATTAGCTTCAAACATTAATAAGTATAAATTTTTAATTTTAACCTAAATAGTCACACTTTATTCAGTAAAATAAATACCTTTTTTGCAAGTTCTGCTGTTGTGGTAATTTTTTCCTTAGAGAATAATAGTATAATCTTAAATTTTTAAGTGATAATATTAAAATTTAAATAACTCATGAATTTTTATTGTAAAAACACGCAATTTTTTGGTTTTTATTTTTTACAATTTTTTTAACTAACTTAAAATAAATTAATCCCTGTAAAACTAATGAAATTAAAAAAAACACATCATAAGCTACCTCAGATTAAATTTTTGTGCAAAAATATTCATTACCGGCTGTACAGTACACGTTTTAATACGTCGGGTCCAGCAGACCCACTGTGCCATTTACGTTTGAATTGTGCCAGTTAAGGGTTAAGTACTTGCTAGTAGATTATATGCCGAGTATGCTGATTTTATAATCTGCAAATGCGAAAAAATTATTAACATTTAAAAATTTTTTTTCAAAATATTCAATATATTAGAAATAATCGTAAAAATTATCTTCAAATACCCTCTAAAACACGGAATCTTCCATTCACATTTTGCGAATATTCCATTAAAATATTCGACCTTCGGAATATTCGATTGGAATATTGAATGGAATGTTTCATTGAAATATTAAGGCCAGGTCCAAGTGAGACGTCGCCATCTACAATGAAACTAAAATTTTGGAAAATTTTCAACAGCCTTTTCTTGAAAACAAGATAGTAAAATGCTTTTTCCTTTATGGAAAATTGATTATTGGCAAGATATACACCAGCTAAAACTTTTTTTGAGTTAAAATAATAAAAAAAATTTCATGTCAATAAATTAAATATGAGCACTTTTTTCACAAAAACTGTAACAGTACTTTCTCAGAAATTACAATCAAAAATGCAATTTCCATTTGGAAAATTAATAAACGCTAAAAAATACACGACCTAAGATTTACCAATCACGAAAATAACAAAAAAAAGTATTTTAACATAACATATTTCACTCATTATGACAGCCGTTTGGCAGGTTATATATGTCACCAGACGTTTCGCAGTTTTGCCGAAAGGAGGAGATTGGCGCTGTTGCTAACCACCTGAAATACATAATCTACCAAAGGGCTGTCACAATCAGTAAAGCAGTATCAATATGTTAAATATTTAATAAAATTTTTTTTTCTTATTTTCGTGATTGGTAAATCTTAGGTCGTGTATTTTTTAGCGTTTATTAATTTTCCAAATGGAAATTGCATTTTTGATTGTAATTTCTGAGAAAGTACTGTTATAGTTTTTGTGAAAAAAGTGCTCATATTTAATTTATTGACATGAAATTTTTTTTATTATTTTAACTCAAAAAAAGTTTTAGCTGGTGTATATCTTGCCAATAATCAATTATCCATAAAGGAAAAAGCATTTTACCTTCTTGTTTTCAAGAAAAGGCTGTTGAAAATTTTCCAAAATTTTAGTATCAATGTAGATGGCGCTGCCTCACTTGCACCTGACCTTAAAGGAATATTCTATCAGAATATTGAGGGAATATTTAATTGAAGCATTGTACGAATATTTTTTTCGGAATACGCATTTAAAAATTTATCAAAAGTTAATCAATTATTTGTAAATTTTAATTTAAAAAACATTTTTGTATTGTTTCAAAATTTGTTTTTCAGAATTAATTTATATAAATACATAACTGAACGTATTTTATTTCAATGAAGACAAAATTAAAAAATTTAATAAGTAGAAGGTAGAAACATAATAAAATCAGTAATAATAGTTTGATTTTTCATTATTAAAAAATATTCGTACAATGTTTCCAATAAATATTCCTTTAATATTCTGATGGAATATTCCTCTAACATTCCAATGGAATGTTCCTCCAACATTCCAACGGATTATTCCGCCAAAATTCCAACGGAATATTCCCCAAATATTCCAATGGAACATTCCATCAATATTCCTATGGAATATTCCCTCAATATTCGAGTGGAATATTCTGAAGGTCGGACATTTTAATATTCCTGGAATATTGATGGAATATTCCCGGAACGTGAGTGGAATATTCCATGTTATTGGAGAAAAACAAATATAAAAATTGAAAATACAAACTTTGACAAATGTTTTTATAGACATAACAATAGCAGATGAACCAGACAATTGTATAGGTTTTGTAGCTCGTATCATCATTAAAATAAGATCTTTTTTTGTTCGGTTTGTTAATGCAATCCAATTTGTTAAATAAACTGCATCTGCAACGGCTGTACTCTATTTTTTAAAATTTAATTTTTTCCCCAAGTTCTAATTTTTTTTTAAAAAACACACCTTTTCACTTATTCTCTGTCCATAAAAACAATAGAGGAAAATTTGCATTATCACACTGCTTACTGATGTCACCATTATCCAATAGGTTGGATTTTGTGAATTTAATCTTGATAATTGATAAATAGTCGCACAAAGACTAATCATTGATGTAAAAAATTGTACAAATATCACTAAACCAAATATTTCATTTAATTTTTGTCCCAATCTGTTAAAAATAAAAAATTTTTTTAGTCAATGAGCTATAAACATTTTTCGGAACGCATAAATAATCTCTAAAACAAATTTGTTAGAAGTTATATTTGATAGAATTTTAATCAGCAGAATAATAATTTGCCAGAAAGTCAATTTGATTGAATTTTAATTGGTCAGAAAATCAATTTGATCGAATTTTGATTTGATAGAAATTCAATTTGGTCTAATTTTAATTAGTGAGAAATTAAATTTCACCGAATTTAAATTTTCCCAAAATGTTGTTTTATAGAATATTAATAGTACAGAAAAACAATTTGACAGAAATCTGCTTTACCAGAATGTATATTTGTTCGAATATTAATTTCCCAGAAAGTTAACTTGGCAGAATTCCAATTTAATCGAATTTTAATTTGCCAGAAACTCAATGTCACCGAAAATCAATTTGACCGAAATATTTCGGCGCAAATTTTAAAATTAACCAATCACAATTTTCTTGATAATTTCCTATTGGTCAATTATAAAATTCACGCCGAAATATTTCGGTGAAATTAAGTTTCTGACAAATTAATGTTTGTACAAATATACTTCCTGGTAAGGTAAATTTCTGTCAAATTAAAATTCGATTAAATTGACTTTCTGGCAAATTAATATTCTGCTGATTAAAATTCTATGAAATATAACTTCTAACAAATTTGTTTTAGAGCTTATTCATGCGTCTCCATTTTTCAACAAAAATACGTTATAATTTTGTAAAAAAAAAAAAAAGGAGAATAAGCCTTACGAATACATGTGAATATGATGTTTTACACATTTTGATATAAGTCTTGATTCTCGTTTACTAATTATCCATTCAGCCTCAATTATATTATTTAACTTTGGTAAATTACTGAGTAAATGTAATCGATTAATAATTATTTCCAATTGTGCGCATATTTGTAGCATAAATGTCAAAGTTAAACCCTCAACTGAGGCAGAAGTATTGGCTGCCATAAATAATCCTAATATTTGATGTAAATATGTCATACAAAAAATCCATTTTGAATTAAGATTAAATGGATACCATGCTTGTAAAGGAAGTACAATATTATTTTTCTTTATTAATGGACCAATTATTATTGATATTGCAGTTATGTTCACCAAAAATAAGAAAATTATTGTATTCGATCTAAAATATATAATGAAAAATTTTTATATTCACTCGAAATAGAATAGAAAAATTTCTATTTTAAATAAAAACTTAAAATAGGTATTTAAAATTAAAAGGAAAAATTTCCTATTTTTCCTTTAAAAAATACGACACAAATTTTTTTAATCCTTTCACAAGCAGGAAAAACTTGATATTTAAGAAAAGAAAGATGAAGTTTTAAATCAATAAAACTAAAATTAATTAAATTAAATACACTACCTGAAGAAAGGGATCGAAGATATACAAAATTTGATAGATAATGTTTTGAAATTTTCAAGTGAAAATACACAAATAGGGTCAATTTTCAATAATAATTAATGATATTTAAGTTCACGGTGCACCAGAAGATGGATTAAATAAAAATGAATTGGCACTTAAAAATTCTTTTTGATTATGATTCTTAGATGAATAACAAACATTACTTAATAGTTTTTAAAATCAGTTTACGTTCCCGATTTTAATAAAATTGAGTTTTTAAATAAAAACAGTGTTTTATGGGGAATCAGAATTTATTTAATCTAATAAATACTGTAATAAATGATAAAATAATTATTTTCAATTTTACATATAAATAATTATATTGCTGTAGTGTTTGTGTCCGATTTTAAAAAATTAAATTATAATGTTAAAAGAACGATTTTAAGAGTGACAAAATTTATTTAAGAGAGTCGAATGGTCTCTGAAATTTTTTGGCAAGAAGAGACCTTTAATTATCGCTCTATAAAAACGGCACTAAACGTGAAAATGATAAACATTGATTTTAAAATACTTTCTTCTCAAAAGACGGACACTTTTTACAAAAGCAGCTAGAGATCCTTATCTTATATAAATTTCCTAAATCCTAAAGATTATACGAATCCATAAAAAAACACGATTGCAAAACGAAAAGTAATATAATGAGGGGTTCATTATCTCCTGCCGCCGTCAGATGGCAGCAGCATGCAGGGCGCACAAAGTCGCAGCTGTTATTAGATTACTTTTCTACTTTTTGTTTTGCAACCATGCTTTTCTATGGATTCGTACAGTCTTTTGGATTTAGGAAATTTATAAGATGAGGATTTTGGCTGATTTTGTTAAAAGTGTTCGTGTTTCGAGAAAAAAGTATTTTAAAATCAATACTATTTCACGTTCAGAGCGATAATTAAAGCTCTCTTCTTGTGCCAAAGAATTTCAGATACCGTTCGACACTCTTAATGCATAAATATAAAAACGAAACAAAAAAATAACTTCATTGTTAATAAATTTATATGAACCCAAATCTAAAACATCTATTATCTATACGCATATAAGTATACATTAAATAAATTCTGGTTCCTCATAAAATACTATTTTTAAATATTTAAAACTCAATTTGTTTTAAATTGGGCACATAAGCTGATTTTAAAACCTATTGAGAAAAGTTTTTTATTCATCTTAGAACCATAATCAAAAAGAATTTTTAAGTGACAATTCATTTTTATTTAAACCTCCTTCTGGCGCACCGTGCCCGTTTCTCTTACAATTAACGGAGATGTCGAACCTATCGGAAAAGTTGGGAACTAGTTACCCACACTGACACAATATGTCTACATACAGTTACTAACACATAGAACTTTTGCAAAATGGCTGCCGTGACATAACCTGCATAAACTGATTGTTTTTGTGTCGGTTTTTTCTGGTTTTTGTAAATAATTTAAAGAAAAGTAAGGAAATATAATTAGTGGTACCATTAAAGGTTGCAAAACAAATTGTGCTAAAGGCAATACAAATATAAATCTATTTACAAAACTATTTTCAATGAAATCCAAATAATAATGATGAGTTTCATTTTAAATATCAATCTTATTAAAGTATATTTTTATCACAACCATAATTAAGGCCAGGTCTAAGTGAGGCAGCGCCATCAACATTGAAACTAAAATTTTGAAAAATTTTCAACAGCCTTTTCTTGAAAAGAAGAAGGTAAAATGCTTTTTCCTTTATGGATAATTGATTATTGGCAAGATATACACCAGCTAAAACTTTTTTTGAGTTAAAATATAATAAAAAAAATTTCATGTCAATAAATTAAATATGAGCACTTTTTTCACAAAAACTGTAACAGTACTTTCTCAGAAATTACAATCAAAAATGCAATTTCCATTTGGAAAATTAATAAACGCTAAAAAATACACGACCTAAGATTTACCAATCACGAAAATAACAAAAAAAAGTATTTTAACATAACATATTTTACTCATTATGACAGCCGTTTGGCAGGTTATATACGTCACCAGACGTTTCGCAGTTTTGCCGAAAGGAGGAGATTGGCGCTGTTGCTAACCACCTGAAATACATAATCTACCAAAGGGCTGTCACAATCAGTAAAGCAGTATCAATATGTTAAATATTTAATAAAATTTTTTTTGTTATTTTCGTGATTGGTAAATCTTAGGTCGTGTATTTTTTAGCGTTTATTAATTTTCCAAATGGAAATTGCATTTTTCATTGTAATTTCTGAGAAAGTACTGTTACAGTTTTTGTGAAAAAAGTGCTCATATTTAATTTATTGACATGAAATTTTTTTTATTATTTTAACTCAAGAAAAGTTTTAGCTGGTGTATATCTTGCCAATAATTAATTATCCATAAAGGAAAAAGCATTTTACCTTCTTGTTTTCAAGAAAAGGCTGTTGAAAATTTTCCAAAATTTTGGTTTCAATGTAGATGGCGCTGCCTCACTTGGACCTGGCCTTAAAATAAAATATAAACAGTTTAATAATTTATATTCACTTGCAGTTACTAATTTTACTTCGTTACTGTGTTTTTACACAATATAACCCACACAGCACATAAAATTTCCTGAATTTGTCCTGAATATTTTATTGAAAGATTCGATTAATAAAAAGAAAGTTTTAATCCAGGTAAAACTGTCGTAAACATAACCTATAATTCGTTTGCTTCTTAGAACACTTTCTTCAGAATGCGTCACAAATTTCAAGTTTATTTGTAATATATTTTTATTTTTTTTTAGTAGATGCTTATTCATTTTGTTAAACAATTTTTAAAATATTTTCTTTTTTTATGGAAATAATAATTGTATTTAAAATTTTTTTTTTTTTACATAGAATGTAATTTTAATTTTTCTTTTTTAAATTTTGTGTACCTGCATATCTGAGAACATTTTAGTAATATCTCAGATTCATAAAGATCTTCGGGCTTACAGAATTTATTCAAAAGTTTTCCTTTTGATTCCACGATAGTTTTTCGTTTTATCATAATAGAAATTTGCTTAATAAAAGTAGCGACAATGCAAAGAAAATAAAATAAATTTTCCGTTATTGTCTCAATTGGTTGAGATACTTTAACGAAATGCATAAAGAGACTTATTATAAATGTCAAATATATTGTAATCATAAACACAGAAAAGATATGATACAACCAAGTTTGCCATTGTAATTTCCAACTTAATGGCTTCCACATTCCAAATAATGTAAGCAAAGTAAATGATATTTGCCCCGTGTAGATATTAAATTTATTTTTAATGTTACAATTTTCCATTTTGTATTTTTGTTATAAAAAATATAGCACTATAAAATTATAATTTAAAAATCAAAATTCTCAATTTTTTTATTCAATAAATATTTTTTCAATTTGTATTCCTCCTTTTTAAAAATCAAATATTAATTTAATTTTTAATGTCAATTTTATTTTCTTGTGTCTAAAATTTTAATCATTAATAATAATTTGTTAAATAGAATTTTAAAATTCTTTTTTAAAAAATTTTTTTATTTAAATTTATGGTTAGAAAAAATGTAATATTTTTATTTGTTTAAATAATAAGGCTCAAATTTTTTTTTAAATTTGAAATGAAAAAAATACTTTAGAATTGTATCATCTTCACTTTGTGAAAAATTTCTTGAGACTAAATTAACTTTTTTCTCTTATTGTATATGCGTATTTTTATTCCATCTTTTAATTCAAATTCCATGTCAATATTTCGATTATTTTCTATTAAAGAAAGGGTGAAATGCAAGTTATGGTATTCTCTAGCGCTAATCAAAAATACATGTAAAAAAAAATGCTGAGAAAAATTCTTTTGCTGTAAAATTGCCCTATAATTACGTTTCGATCTGTGCATAATAAAAAATATCGTGTCTTTGAAATATTTTTGCATTGAAAAAATTCTTCTATAAAATTGTCCTTCGATCTGTGAATAATAAAAAAAAGAGATATCTTGAAATATTGTAGAAATCTTTTTTTAATCTTGTAAAATGTCACCAGTTTTTGTGTCTCTAATAAACAAATTTTGATATTCATTAACCCTTAACTAGCACAATTCGAACGTAAATGGCACAGTGGGTCTGCTGGACCCGACGTATTCAAATTTTCCCGTTGAACGAATTTTCATTTAATATAATTTCTATTTAACAGAATTTATATTCTGCAAAATTTTCATAATACAAAATTTTTAATTAAAATAATTAATTAAAATTTTCATTTTAAAGAATTTTATTAGAAATAATTATTTTTTAGACGAATTTTCATTTTTTGAATTAGCATATTTGACAGAATTTTATTTTATACGAATTTTATACTTAACAAAATTTTCACCTACCAAAATGTTTGTTTGGAAGAATATTTTTATTTTACAGTCGTTTTTTGTACATGACTTTTTATATTTAATCGAATTTTAATTTAACAGAATTCTGATTCAATTGAATTTCATATGTGATTCGAATTTTTAAATAACAGAAATTCCATTTCAATGAATTTTAATTCGTCCGAATTTTTAAGACACTGAATTTTCATTTGTCCGAAATTACAAATGACCGAACAAACAATTAACAGAAAGATTTCGGTCAAATTTTTATTATTGACCAATCACGATTTTTTTTTTGTTGATAATTTTTAATTAGCCAATTTTTAAAAATTGCGCCGCAATCATTCTGTTGATTGTTTTTTCGGACAAATGCAAATTCGGCGTCTTAAAAATTCTATCAATTAAAAATTCGTCCAAATAACATTTTTTTTATATTTTAATATATTAGTTTGACATATTCTTAGTAATTTTCTAAGTTTTTTGATACAACTAATTTGATACAAAAGAATAAATTAGCATCGAAAATTAATAATTATAAATTTTTAATTTTAACCTAAAAAATCACATTTTATTCAGCAAAATAATAACCTTTTTTGCAAGTCCTGCTCTTATGGTAATTTTTTCTTTAAAGAATTATTATTCTTTAAGGAAAAAATAACCTTAAATTTTTAAGTCAGAATATTAAAAATTTAAATAACTCATGAATTTTCAAGTAAAAACAAGCAAATTTTTTGGTTTTTATTTTTCACATTTTTTTTAACTATAACTTAAAATAAATAAATCCCTGTAAAACTAATGAAATTTTAAAAAAAACACATCATAAGCTACCTCAGATTAAATTTTTGTGCAAAAATATTCAATACCGGCTGTACAGTACACGTTTTAATACGTTGGGTCCAGCAGACCCACTGTGCCATTTACGTTCCAACGTATAATTAAGTCAGATAAGGGTTACTTGAATTCACATTACAAAAAAATGTTGTTTTACAAAACTTTTATTTAATTCAATTTTTATTTAAAAATAATTCCAATTTAACCAAATTTGCATTTAACAGAATTCTTATTTTACAGAATTTTGACTAAAACGAATTTTTAAATGCAAGAATTCTTATTTCACCGAAACTTCATTTGACAGAATTTTTATTTGTACAAATTATCCATTGATAATAATAATAAAAATAATAATAATAATAATAATAGTTATAATAACACAGGCCCACAAAAAAAACTTTTTTTTGTCCGGCGAACTAGACTGGTCATTTCTCACGTATTTTGGGTCGCTGAATCCGAATTCGGGGTCAGAATTCATAAGTTGGTTCGTTTTTTCTTTCTAACCTCAAAAAACTTACTTTTTCGGTACATTTTGCGAGAAAATGAAAAATCGTGAACTAGTTTTGAAATTACGACCATGGATTACAATTTAGAAGATAAATTTACTTACCACTTAAATACATTCTTCAAATTAAAAATGGCGGATCCAATATGGCGGACCAAAAATAGCGGATATTTAACAAATAGTTCACGGTGCGCCAGAAGGAGGTTTAAATAAAAATGAATTGGCAACTTAAAAATTCTTTTTGATTATAGTTCTAAGATGAATAAAAAAGCTTTTCTCAATAGGTTTTAAAATCAGCTTACGTGCCCAATTTAAAACAAATTGTGTTTTAAATATTTAAAAATAGTATTTTATGAGGAACCAGAATTTATTTAATGTATACTTATATGCCTACAGAAAATAGATGTTTTAGATTTGGGTTCATATAAATTTATTAACAATGAAGTTATTTTCTTGTTTCGTTTTTATATTTATGCATTAAGAGTGTCGAACGGTATCTGAAATTCTTTGGCAAGAAGAGAGCTTTAATTATCGCTCTGAACGTGAAATAGTATTGATTTTAAAATACTTTTTTCTCGAAACACGAACACTTTTAACAAAATCAGCCAAAATCCTCATCTTATAAATTTCCTAAATCCAAAAGACTGTACAAATCCATAGAAAAACATGGTTGCAAAACAAAAAGTAGAAAAGTAATCTAATAACAGCTGCGACTTTGTGCGTCCTGCATGCTGCTGCCATCTGACGGCGGCAGGAGGTAATGAACCCCTCATTATATTACTTTTTGTTTTGCAATCGTGTTTTTGTATGGATTCGTATAATCTTTCGGATTTAGGAAATTTATATAAGATAAGGATCTCTAGCTGCTTTTGTAAAAAGTGTCCGTCTTTCGAGAAGAAAGTATTTTAAAATCAATGTTTATCATTTTCACGTTTAGTGCCGTTTTTATAGAGCGATAATTAAAGGTCTCTTCTTGCCAAAAAATTTCAGAGATCATTCGACTCTCTTAAATAAATTTTGTCACTCTTAAAATCGTTCTTTTAACATTATAATTTAATTTTTTAAAATCGGACACAAACACTACAGCAATATAATTATTTATATGTAAAATTGAAAATAAGTAATTATTTTATCATTTATTACAGTATTTATTAGATTAAATAAATTCTGATTCCCCATAAAACACTGTTTTTATATAAAAACTCAATTTTATTTAAATCGGGAACGTAAACTGATTTTAAAAACTATTGAGAAATGTTTGTTATTCATCTAAGAATCGTAATCAAAAAGAATTTTTAAGTGCCAATTCATTTTTATTTAATCCACCTTCTGGCGCACCGTGAGTTCCGATTCGCTTGTAATTAGGTACTTGGGGGTTTTTTGGGTCGCTGATTACGACTCTGGCGTCAGTTTAAAAAAATTAAAAATGGCGGATCCAATATGGTTGATGAGAAAAGTAAATTTAGTAGATGGGGGTTTTTCTGATCGTTGATTGTAAATAAAAATTCAGATTTTTGTAATTTAAAATAGGGAGTCTTACATAGTGAATGGAATTTTTTTTAAATTGTTATGATCCGCTGCAAAATTGACACACAAAAGGTTTTGAAGTCAAGGATTACTAATCTTATAGTATAGTCACACAGACAATCTGCCTTGTAATATATGACTCGAAAAAATGCGAGAAAAAATAACTAATCTTATATATTTCATATTTAAAAAATATATATGATCTTTCTTTCTGTAAGCAGTGTACCGTCACCATATTGGATCCGCCATTTTTAATTTTTTTAAACTGACGCCAAAGTCGTAATCAGCGACCCAAAAAACCCTCAAGTACCAAATTTCGAGCGAATCGGAACTATTTGTAGAATATCCGCCATATTGGATCCGCCATTTTTAATTTGAAGAATGTATTTAAGTGGTAAGTAAATTTAACTTCTAAATTGTAATCTATGGTCGTTATTTCAAAACTAGCTCCCCAATTTTTCATTTTCTCGCAAAATGTACCGAAAAAGTAAGTTTTTTGAGGTTAGAAAGAAAAAACGAACCAACTTATGAATTCTGACCCCGGATTCGAATTCAGCGACCCAAAATACGTGAGAAATGACTAGTCTAGTTCGCCGGACAAAAAAAAATTTTTTTTTTGTGGGGCTGTGTAATTATATATGTGAATAAATTATCAAATTGTTTATAAAAGAAGTTTTAAATGTTTTTACTGGAGCAAAAAGAATTTTTTTAAATTAAGAAATAAAAGTTTTCATTGATTTGAATTTTTTTTTTCATCAGTTTTTTATGAAAATAAAAGATTTTTTTACACACACATTTTTTTGAATATACTTTTATATTTGTATTACAATCATTTTCAAATTTTCAACACACATGTTTTCTGTTATTTAAATTATAATATAGTTTTGCGATAAGACACAAAAAGCACATATTAATATTGAATATGTCATAAAATAATTATAATAATTTAAATATTGACATAAAATTAATGTATATAACTAATAATCATTATTCTTTGAGCAGTGTTTCAAATATTGTGAAAGAGAGACAAATACATTTTGTTTGAAAATCATAATTGAAGAAGGGAATAATTTTGTAGCTTTGGATATAATAAAATAAAATCTTTTGTAAATAACTTGTATTTAAACATTATTATTTCCAACAAAAAACAAGAAAATTTATTGTATTTAACAAAAATTTATAGAAGGGACATAAAAGTTAAACAGTTTTTTTTTTATTATTATTTAAACAAGTTATAAAACATTTTTATTTATGAATTTTTAGAGAGGAGAAAAATTACTATTGTAATATATGTCTTTTTTTTAATGAATTTTAATTCATTTTGAGAGTATAAAAAGTGTTGAATTTTTATCATTGAGAATCGATCTTGTCATTTTATAAAATTTTTGGCGACGGATAAAAAAATTGTAAGTTGTTTAAAGTTTTTGTTAGATGATAAAAAAAATCACGTTTAGTGCTTTCTCGGTCTGTTAGACCGAGATTACAAATTCGCTTAAACGAACACTCGAATAATTTATTATTTTATTATCAATTAATGTTGCAGAAATTCATTCATACAATTGGAATAATTATTCAATTTATCCGCAATCATGTCAAAATATATGAGAATTGTTTTAATTTATCTTCTTAGCCTCGTAGCTTTATTATTCGCTATTAAAAGCGACGAGGACAAGGTTTATAAATCTCGCTATAATTTCGGACTTGGAAAGGTAATTTTCTACAAAGTTTCTTAATAAAAATAAAAAAAAGAAAACTATCAACATTTAATTGTTTTTTAATTAATCTGTAATTTGGAAAAATTAGTTCTTTTTTTTAAAGAATTTAAAAAATTTTTTTTAAATCTCGAAAATTGGTTTCGTCTGTATAATAAAACGATTCTAAAAAATTATATTATTTTTTTTTAATTTTAATTGTTAACAAAAAAGCAAATACTAACTACAAATATTTCTTTTTTTTCAGTAAAATCAAAAAAACATATTTATTGAATCAACAAATTGTTTGCAAAGAGGCTATTAATCTACTTAATTAAAAAAAAAAATTACTTAAGCAATTTAATGTGAGACAATGATCAAATTGTTTGTACAGAGTTTAAAAGAAATAATTTTTTTCAATTGAGTAATCAAAATTTCTATTGATAAAAATTTTCTTTTTACATCTGTATTGAAAAATTTCAATTTAAAACCTAAAATTTAATAATTTTTAAATTTTTCTTCAACTTTCTGTAATTTAATAATTTCAACTGTAACTCATTCGAAATTTAATTATTTTTAATGACTTATATTCTTCAAAAATTCAATTAACTAGATGTATTTTTGTATTAAAAAAATTTTTAAGTTCAATTTTTTTGTCTTCAATTTTTAATAAATTCTTCAGCAATAGAAATCAAAAAAATTTAAATTCAATTAAAAATTCAATTTAAAACCTAAAATTTAATTATTAAAAAAGAAATTTAAATGTAACTCTTTCAAAATTTAATGATTTTAAATGATTTTTATATTATAATAATAAAATAACTTAAATTATAAAACAAAATTTAGTTTATATCGAAATTTTACAAATACAAATATTTTTTAGAATCATAAAATACCAAAATCACTTTTATTCCATACACATATTATGCTACAAGTTATATGTATAATAATAAATTTTATACTTTACTATATCTTAAAATATAAATATATGTACAATATAAATTAAATATATCTACAAAAAAAAAAAAAATGTTTAGTAGCAAAATACAAATATTTTTCTCTTTTAATTCAAATTCGTGAAATTCTCTTTTATTTTCCAATTATTTTGTACGAAATGCTTGATTAAAATTACGCAAATCTTTTAATGATAAACAATTAAAAATCATATCATTGACAAAATAGGGTAATTGTCGTTTTGTTATTTGTTTCAAAATTAATGTATTACTTTCAATTAAATCCTTTCTTAATTTTCCTTTTTTAACACGATCTTTCAATAAATCACCATAAATTGGAATATCCCAATATTTTTTTGCTATTAATGCATCCATTAAATCATTATTACGTAAAAATAATATTAATTTTTCCACATTTACATTTAATAAATCAAAATATGAAATTGTACTATTACTACAAATTTGTTCTTTTTTCATTAAATCAATTTGTTGTTCACATTGTTGATAAAATTCATCAACAGCCATTTGTCCTTTAATCATATTGAAATTTAAATTTTTTTCACCCATATGAATACTTAATGCCGTATAAGCGCATAAACATTCTAATGTTTTGAATGCAGTATTTTTTCTTGTTATTTTACAACCACGAAATTTTATTAAAATACGATCCAATGGTGTTAAATCATTTTTTGTACGAATATTAACATTTGCTCCTAATTTCAATAAATATTTAACAACTTTAAGATTATAAAAACCAGCGGCAATATGAAGTGCCGTTACACCATTAATATCACCTGCATCAATATCGGCTCCATATTCAATTAATAATTCAATAATATCCAATGATATTCCTTTAGCTGATGATTTTGAACCATAAATTAATGGTGTTTCTTCACGAAAATCTTTAACATTTGGATCTAAACCTTGATCTAAAAATAATTTCATTATACGTGTATTATTAATACCAACAATATAATGAAGTGCACTTCTTCGTTGATGAAATTTCATTTTAAAACTTGCACCAACTTTTAATAAAACTTCAACCATTTCCTCATATTTATTATCACATGCACGTTGTAATGGTGTTTTTTTAGCAGCGTCTTGCGCTTCAATTTTAGCATTATTTTCAATTAAAATTTCAGCTATTTTTGCATTTCGCACACGTTGCAATTTATTTATTGATGGAAAATAAAATGTATCACAAGCAATATGAATTGGATTACCATATGGTGATGTGGCATTAACATTTGCACCATTTTTCACTAATGTTTCAACAATTTTTAAATAACCTTTCGATACTGCCAAATGAAGTGATGTAAATCCACCAATTCGATTAGTTAAATTTTGATGCGCTTGATCAAGTTGTATTTGTAAATTAGAATCAGCGCCATGTTTAATTAATAATTCAATCATATCATTCATTTCATGTAATGTTGTAATATGCAATAATGTCATTCCTTTTGCATTAAATGCATTTAAATTTGCATTGGAATTTTGAAGAATTTCATTAAAACTTTCATTATCGCCATTTAATGCTGCAAAATGAAGTAGTGTTGAATAATTTGAATGATTTACATTTAAATGTTTATCTTGATCGAGAAAAAATTTTATCAAATAACGACATCTTATGATATTTTTACAATTTTTACAATTAAGAAGTTGATCCTCCTTAGGAATAAATGTTTCAACTGCTTCTGAAATTCCTGAAAGTAATGCCTCTTGTAATGGTGTTGTACCCTCGCGGCCACAAATATTCATATCCGCACCATGTTCCAATAATAATTTTGTTGTTTCAAATGCGTATTTAGTTTTTTTTCCAATACGAAAAATGCCGGCTTTCAATTCTTTGTGAAGTTGAGTTTCACCTCTTCGATCTTGAAGATTGATACCTTCGCCAAAATCAAGTAGCGGTATTCTTTGTTGTGTGTATGTATCGTCAACTTTTGATTTAATTATTTTTTTGTTGTCCATTTTTCTAAAAAAAAAAAAAGAGAAAAATAGTTAGGGGAGAAAAAGTTAATATTAAATTATTATTTCTGTAAATTAAAAAAAAATAGTCCATTAAAATTATAGGAATTTTGTCGAAAAATAAATTTAAAAATTTCTATATTAGCAGAATTTTATAAAGTGGACTTTATAAGGAATTAAATTTAATTCCTTTTTATTTATCTATTATTTTTTAACTACAAATGAAAAATTTGTTATAAAAGTAAAATAATTTTAACAGAATTGACACAAAAATATTTATTATGTTTTTCTCTGATTTCCAGTAAAAATTAAAATTTTTTTCCCTGATCCTAATGAAAATATTACAAGAGGTTTTTAATAACACGGCCTCGGATTACACGACTTTTTCGACTTTTTTTTTATTTTCTAAAATTGAATTATTAAAAATATATAGGTAATTGATTAATATTTTATATTATATGAATTTTGATTGTATTAAGTTACAAATTATTCGAATTTTAATTAATTTAAGTTTAAAATTGTCCAAATTTTAATTAAGTTTAAAATTATCCAAAAATTGTTTTAAAGTTTCAAATTACCAAATTTTAGTTTATTTAAAATTTAATTGAATTAAGATTCAAATTATCAGATTTTCAATTTGTCCAAATTGTAATTGATATAAGTTTTAAATTATCCGAATTTTAATTGACTTAAGTTTCAAATTTCGAATTTTAATTAATTTAAGTTTAAAATTGTCCAAAGTTTAATGAATTTTTAAATTATCCAAAAATTATTTTAAAGTTTCAAATTACCAAATTAGAGGAATCTTTCCCATAATTGTTCGGTAGATCAGCTGTTTATTTTCTTATTCATTTTTACTTTTATAAATGAATAAATGTCATATATTGTTTCGAAGTTGAATATTTTTACTTTGCAAAAAAAATAAATATTAATTAATAATAAAGAAAGAAAATATACAATCAATCGTATGATATAGTTAATAATTATCTAGATCTGAATAATTAATTGTGAGATCGTTCTGAATGAATATTAAATGAAATAATTTTATTAATTAACTTAAATTTTTCACCTTTTTGTTTGATTTCTTTTTGACAAATTCGCTTTTCCTCAATTGAATTTCAAAAATTGCTCATAGGCTTATCTATAGAAAAAAAATACAAAATAAAATTTTAACGAAATAAAAGAAATCTGCCAATGCCTATCAACTACCAAGGTCAAGTTCTCTATTCCCTAAATTAGTTAACCTATCATAAGTAAATTAATTTTTCAAGAATTTCCCTTAGAAATTGATTTATTTAATATGTTATTTATTTTAGAACACATTAAAATGCTCAATTTCTAAGGGAAATTCTTGAAAAATTAATTTCTTTGACAATTAAATGATTTAAAACAGTTTTCAATTGAAAATTCACATTATTGTGTAAAGTTTTTCAAAAAAAATTTCACAAATTCAAAATGAAAGTTTCAATTAATAATCTCCTGAAATTCAATTATTTTTTCTAAAAATTTTAACTCAAACTCTTTTGAAATAAAATTATTTCTAACTTTTTCTATCTAAAATTGAAATTGTTGAATAATTTAATTTTAATAATTTTTAATCACCATTTTCGAAAATTCAATTAATTAAAACATTTTTCACTTCAAAAATCTCCAAAGTTTAATTATTGTTTAAAGCTTATAAAATATCGAAATAAATTTCAATTTATGAAAATTTTCATTAAAAATCTCTTGAAATTCAATTAGATTCAAAAATTTCAACTATTGCTCTTTAATAAGTGAATTATTTCTCAAATTTTTTAACTTCAATTTCAATTTTGAATTAATTATTTCTAATAACTTTCATCAACTGTTTCAAAAATACAATTACATAAAACACTTTTTAATCATTAATTATTTAAAATTAAATTTTTGTTTATATAATTTTTAAAAAATTTCAATAATTCAAGTTGATTAAAATTTATTTAAAAATTTGTAATAACAAACGTCGAAAATTCAATTTTTTAAATCATTTTTTAATTGAAAATTCTCTATAATTTAATTATTTTTAAAAATTTCATTGAAAATTCTTCGCTAAATTAATTTTTTTAATTACTTTAATACAATTTTTCAACAATTCAGAGAAATGAAAACTTTTTTTAATTAAAACTACTCTAAAATTATATTATTTTTTAAAGTTTGTAAAAAAATTCTGAAATTTAATTACTTCGAAAAAAATTTTAACTCGAACTCTTTCAAATTCAATTAGTAATTTAAAAATTAATTTAATGTTAATTCAATTGAAAATTTTTTTCCCAAATTTTTATCTATTCAATTCTTTGTTTAATTAATTATTTTAATAGTTTTAATCCAATTTTTCAAAAATTCAATTACATAAAACGTTTTTTAATTATAATTCTTAAAAATTAAATTTTTGTTTATATAATTTTTAAAAAATTTTAATAATTCAAATTTATTAAAATTTTAACTAAAAATTTTAAGAATCAAAAATCGAAAATTCAATTTTTTAAAAAATGTTTTCAATTAAAATTCTCTAAAATTCTCTATAATTCAATTATTTCTAAAAATTTTATTAAAAATTCTTCGCTGAATTAATTTTTTTTTTTTAATTACTTTAATACGGTTATACAACAATTTAGGGAAATAAACAGTTTTTTAATTAAAAATACTTTAAAATTCTATTATTTTTTAAAGTTTATAAACAAAATTTTATCAATAAAAATTTATGAAAGTTGCAATTTAAAATCTTTTGAAATTTAATTACTTTGAAAAAAATTTTAACTCGAACTCTTTTAAATTAAAATAGTAATTGAATAATTAATTGGAAACTTTTTTCTCAAATTTTTATCTATATAATTCTTTTGTTTAATTAATTATTTCAACGGTTTTAATTTAACTTTTCGAAAATTCTATTATTTAAATTAATTTTTATATTTACAACAAAATTATAATTTTTGAAATCTCAAAAAATGCAATTATTTCTAAAAATCTTAACTATAACTCCATCAAAATTCAATTATTATTTAGAACATATTTCAGTTGAAAATTCTTTAAAATTCAATTATTGTCTGAAATTTAAAAAAAAATTTCATTAATTCAAATTTATAATAGTTTCAATTGAAAATCTCCTGAAATTCAATTATTTATAAATTTTGTTTAATCAAACTCTTTCAAATTCAATTATTTTTAAAATTTTGATTAAAAATCTTCTAGAATTCAATTATTTCACAAATTTACATTTAAATTTAATTTTTCTTTCAATAAATTTTTCTTTGGATTTTTGGAAGACAAAAAATAATTTATTAAATAATTGTGGAAGAATTTACTAAATATTGAACTAATTTTTTTTTTCAAATAATATTTTAATGAAATTCTTCGAATATTTAATGATTTAAAACATTTTCCGAAAATTAGAATTGAAAAATTTTCTTTTTTTTTTTAAATGTAATTTTAAATTATTTTTGTAAAATTTGTTCTGAAACTGAATTGAAATCTTGAAAATTTGTCTCAGTTTAATTCGGTGATTTAAAAAGAAAAATTGTTGAAAATATTTCCATGAAACATTCTTATTAAGGAATTAAAAAATTGTTAATAATAATAAAATATTTATCAACAATAATTTTTAGAAGCAAAAGTTTGAGTTGAAAATTTCAAAAATTATAATTTTAGTAGCAACTTTAGAAATTTGATATTTTTCCAGTACTTTTTATAAAATTCCCTAACTTTGCCCTGATTTTCCTGACTAAATCTCACTTTCCCTGATTTTTCCATGAAAAAAAAATTCCTTTTGATCAAAAAAGTTTGTTTTTTTTCTTATTTATTTGCCTTTCTTCATTTTGTCAAATCTTGTGCAAAATGTTTTGTTTACAGATTTCGTCATTTCTTTTTTGTCGTCTGCTATATACACAGAAGCCTTCAGGAATTATATTTTCTATAAAAGCGCGTCAGAAAAATAAAAATGAAAAAAATTATTAGAATTAAATTCTTTTAATGTTTACAATATTATTTAAAGACTGAAATAAAGTTTTTTCTTAAATTTTTTTTATTTCTTCTATAAATATTATAAATGTTTATAAATATAGTTTACTAAAAAATTTTCTTTCTTTTCGGAGTATTTATAAATTAACATATATTAAATATATATATATATATATGAAATAAAAGTGAACTCACCTAAAAATAAAATATCTTAATGAAGATTAAACAATGATTTAGACAATAAATAATTAAATTTCCAAGATTATTTAAAATAATTTTGAGAAATTCACATTTTTAACAAAATAATATTTTATTCTTTTGTTATTATGATGCACTCGGTACAAACTGTAGCTAAACTGGCGTTGAAACGATGTAAATAAAAATCCCCTGCTGGTGACAACTTAAACTAAATTTGTAAATTTTTTCGATAATTCTAAATTTTCGCAGGATAATAAATATTATTATTATTATTTTACTGATTTTATGTGAATTTTGAAAAAAAAATTCGACTCTAGAAAAATAGCGAGATAAAAATAAAAATTCGATATGAAAATTATATATTTGTAACCTAAAATGAATTTAGATCCATGTAATGCGTGGTTGCCATACTATCAGGAGTCAAACTTTTTTACATTAAAATTTTTCAAATCAAAATTAATTTTTTACCAGATTTTCAAAATTCAAAATGGCGGGTGCATTTTTTTTAATTTAACTCAAGTTTAAAGTTTAGCGAAAATTTACTTCGTTGATTTCTTATCTTGCAAATATTAAATTCGTTTAAAGAAATCTTTCGTTTAGATATAGTTGCTAAAATCTATAACGTTGCAAAGTTATATTCTAAAAATTTTCGTCTTAAGTTGCCTTTAAAAAAAATTTTTTTTATGTTAAAATATATTTATTTCTTTCGTACAAATTATTAGATTTTACAAAAAATTCCCTTAATATTAATAATTATAAAAATTACATATTAATAAGTAAAAGTAACAAAAATTATATTTTAAATGGAAAAAAAAATTGTTATAAGAAAATTTTTTCTTTGGAATTTTTTTTTTGATAACAATTTATTGTTGAATATTTTTATATTTCGAAGCCTATTTTTTAGTAATCAAATTTCTTCAGAAATTAAATAAAAATATTTTTTTTTAGTAAAATTCCATTGAAATATTGCTAAAAAAATTTCTTTTTTTTCTTTTCTTTAAAAATTCCATGAATTATTTTGAAATATATGAAATATTGCAACAATAATTTGTATTAAATTGAGTTTTTTTCATTTTCGTCAATTTCAACATCGGCTATTTCGTTTTCTTCAATTTCGTTGATATTTTCAGTATTAGAACTATTTAACAAACTTTCAAATACTTCGCGACATTTAACTTCAACATCCTCATTATTGTGATTAATTTCATTTTTCTCTTCACTTAAATTCAATTGCAAATCAATTTTTTTTGTACATTTAACAAATCGTAAATCAGGTTCATCGAGTGTTCTTCTTGGCTTTTCTAAATTTACATTCGATTTACTTTCATAATCTTTAAGTAAATATTTCAATTCCGAACTTGCTGCAAATACACTCGAAATTTGTGGTCTTATTTCATCTTCAAATTTATAATCATCCCTAATATCTCTCGATTTATTATCATTTGTTTCAACATCATCGACATTAATTTTTGTTTTTGTAAATAATTCAGATAATTTTTTTTCCAATTCAAAACTTCGCGACGAATTAGAAATTTGCTTTTGAAAAATATCAATTTTCTCATCTCTCGCTATTATCCATTTCCAATAAATAATAACATATTTATTTAAATAACGTAAATATTCAGTCTCAAAATCCCTAATTGGCTCTAGCGATGCAAATGGATTTAAATAAACCAAATCAGGTGTAATTGAAGGTTGAAAAAGTTGTGAAATTTTTCGATTATCATTAATAGCACGTTCTTTTGTTCCCGCTGTTAATATAAATGGTACATTCATTTTATTTATCACTAAAATATCTTTTATACAATTACACGCTTTAACATCACACTCATGTATATCTAAATCATAGCCAACAATTATATCTGGTTTTATAAAAAATTTTCCCAATACAAATTGTTCATACGTCAATGAATATGATTTACATGTTAAATTTTTTAAATTACCAAATGAATTTCTCGTATAATTCACTTCCTTTGTATTTATGCCAATAAATATAATATTTATTTTATTTAACATTTTTAACCAATAGAAAAAAACATTCCAATATTCATCGTTTGCATATTTTGAATTATTCGAACCAATCACGTGTATTGTTAATATTTTATTTTCATTGAAATTAATTGGCAATTTTTTCATAGCACACAACAATGTTAATGGCCTTGTTAATAATTCGGCAATTATTATTTTTTCAATACTCGTGATAATAATATCTGTTTCCAATAAAATAAGCCATAATTCCAAAAATTCTTGCATTGAATTTGGCAAATTATCATCAAATTCAGCGGCAAGAAATTCAAATTTCGATGAAAATTCAACAATTTCTTCATTCTCATGTAACAAATAACTTAAATAATAATCATTACATATTAATTTATGACCACGATAATCTTTATGTATTTTACATAATGCAATACCACAACGACAAATATAAAGTTTCATTAAATCACATTCGTGACATGCAAAACATGCTTTTGGAAATAAAAACATTTGTTGTTCATAAATTAATAATTCACGTTCAATTTCAAATTCAATTTTTTTTATAACATTTAATTTTACCTCTAACCAAATTTCATTCGTCACTTTATTACAATCCATTAAATCAATTTCACCGGCAAATATATTTTTTCTACCCGATTCAATAAGTAATTTTTGTATTAATTTACAAAGATCTTTATGTTGATACCAATCTTCTCTTCTATGCAATTCAGAACAATAAAAAATCATATTACAATATTTACAAGTGATAATTGATGATTTTTCACGACAACCACGACAAATGTGGGAGAAAAAAAAATATTGTGAATTCCAATATTCACCTTTTTCTTTTTTTAACAATAATGGCGAATCATTGGCAAAATGTTTGGCGCGACAATAATTTTTAAATGAATCAGCAATAATCATAAATTGATTTAATTTACCAACTCCATTGTTTGTCCATTCGCGTAATGGTTCCAAAGCACCAAATTCATTTAAATCCTCATTTAATATTAAATTTGTCCAAAATGTCATTTTTAAATTTTCAACAACACGATTTAATTTCATTTCCGTTACGCATGTTAATAATAATGGACAACCAATTCTACTGAAAATTTCCAATAAATTTTCCCATTTTGAATTATTCTCTTCCTCTTCTTCAGCTGGCATATAAGCAAGTAAATCAGGTTTAATGTATAATTCATCTTCAACAAAATTCTCATAATTCAAATTTTTCATTTGTAAAATTAATTTTTTCTCCTTCTCACAACAATCGTTGCACAATTTCATTTTTGTCTTCAAACATTCCGATTGATTGAGGAAAATAATTTTTAAAAATGACAATTTTGGTAGAAAATGAAGAAGAAGTTCCCAAACAATAGAATCTGGTAATTCACAACGAACGTGTATTATTAATTCCGAACGATTATCAAGTTTAAGTTTCTTCACCGCATTAAAAAGTGTCAATGGCATTGTTAAAATATTTGAAATACACGATTTTATTAAAATTACATCATCATCGTCATTATCATTCGTCAAAAATTGATTTAAATAATTTTCCATTGTTTCTGGAATTATATCAAATGTTATTGTAACAATTTTTTTCAATATTCCCATTATAATTCTCAATTTATTTGGATTTTGAATTTTTTCATCTAAATCGTGAAATAATTTCAATGATAAACAATCTTTATTGTGTTGTAAATTTAATTCTTGATGTTGTTGACAAAAATTAACACACAAACATTTGGGACAATTTTTAAGTAATTCTTGTCTTGTTTCGTGACAAACAAAACATGATCTTGGCATTAAAATCATTTGTTCTTCATGAAGATGTAATGAACGACCGAGTGTTGTTTCTATTAATTGTGACATACGTTCACGTTCTTTTATCCATGTTTGTAAATCGGAATTTAATTGTTTTTCATAAATATGTGATAATCCAGTTTCTTTAAGTAGACAAGAAATTACATTACAAAATTCTTTATGTTTTGGCCAATCATATTTTTGATGTTTTGATCCACAATATGATATCATATTACAATTGCCGCATATTTCCAATGTTTCTGTCGATTTACAGACAAAGCATTCGTTGGCAAAATATGACATAATGACATCTGAAAGACAAAAAAAAAAAATTGTTTACATTTAAATTAGGGAGAAAAAAAAGGAATTTGGTACGCTCTTTCTACACATAAATCACGATGCGCCAGAAGGTGGTTTAAATAAAAATAAATTGTCACTTAAAAATTCTTTTTGATTATGGTTCTAAGATGAATAACAAACATTTCTCAATAGTTTTTAAAATCAGTTTACGTGCCCGATTTAAATAAAATTGAGTTTTAAATATTTAAAAATAGTATTTTATGAGGAACCAGAATTTTTTTAATGTATACTTATATGCGTATAGATAATAGATGTTTTAGATTTGGGTTCATATAAATTTATTAACAATGAAGTTATTTTCTTGTTTCGTTTTTATATTTATGCATTAAGAGTGTCGAACGGTATCTGAAATTCTTTGGCAAGAAGAGAGCTTTAATTATCGCTCTGAACGTGAAATAGTATTGATTTTAAAATACTTTTTTCTCGAAACACGAACACTTTTAACAAAATCAGCCAAAATCCTCATCTTATAAATTTCCTAAATCCAAAAGACTGTACGAATGCATAGAAAAACATGGTTGCAAAACAAAAAGTAGAAAAGTAATCTAATAACAGCTGCGACTTTGTGCGCCCTGCATGCTGCTGCCATCTGACGGCGGCAGGAGGTAATGAACCCCTCATTATATTACTTTTCGTTTTGCAATCGTGTTTTTGTATGGATTCGCATAATCTTTCGGAATTAGGAAATTTATATAAGATAAGGATCTCTAGCTGCTTTTGTAAAAAGTGTCCGTCTTTCGAGAAGAAAGTATTTTAAAATCAAGGTTTATCATTTTTACGTTTAGTGCCGTTTTTATAGAGCGATAATTAAAGGTCTCTTCTTGCCAAAAAATTTCAGAGATCATTCGACTCTCTTAAATAAATTTTGTCACTCTTAAAATCGTTCTTTTAACATTATAATTTAATTTTTTAAAATCGGACACAAACACTACAGCAATATAATTATTTATATGTTAAATTGAAAATAAGTAATTATTTTATTATTTATTACAGTATTTATTAGATTAAATAAATTCTGATTCCCCATAAAACACTGTTTTTATATAAAAACTCAATTTTTATAAATTATTATGTTTTAAAATTTCGGAAATGAAAAGGCCTAGATACGGTTTGTAAAGATATATATATTTTTTCAAAAATCCCAACTAGTTTCGAACATTATAGTTCCTCTTCAGGGGATAAATAATAGTTTGAGTTTTTTATATAAACATTGTCCTTTAGTTGGACAGGTTATAAGAAGATTTCAAGAAGGATAATAAAATTTTTTATTTGCAATCTCTTGAGAAATAAAATATTAATTTCAAAATTAATTTTTCCTTTTTTGGAAAAAATTTTTTATAAATTATTATCAAATAATTAGTTATATATATAAATTTTGTGGAAGCACATTTTTCGATGGAAAGAAAAATCCAATAATGTTTTTAAAAAAAAGAAAACTCGACAACGTTACCTCAGAACACTCATTAGTTAACAAAAAAATTTTTTGTTTTTGATTTAAGATGATCAAGTTTCGACTTATGCACAATGGGGCAAAATACAGAGTTTTGGACAAATAAAAATTTGGACTAATCTTCTTCTAAACTTCTAAGCTTCTTTTCAACGAGAGACATTTTGATAAAAGTTATTGCAAAATTTTTTATTAAACAAAAAATTCATATTTTTGCTATCAATTTTTTAAAAGTAATTAAATTTTACTAAATCTTTTTGAAATAGAAGCGCAAAGTCTAAAAAGTTACGTTGTTTTTAAGGAGGAAAAAAAATTTTCCAACTTTAACATTAAATAAAGAAATTATTAAAAAAAAAATTTTCTTCAAAAAACAAAATTAGAGGCGTTATGCAGAATTTTATCATCTTTAAAACAAGACCAAGAACGTTAAAATCGGTTAAAATTTATAGGCTGTATGTTAATTTGTCCATAGCCGTGTTTTTCGTCCCACTGTGTGGCGCGAGGTAAAGTGGTTTCCCGTTGACTTGTCGCACTACTTTCAATATTTAATTTCTCGGAAACAAAAAAAAAAACCGTTTTTTTTTTAAATATGTATTTTGTGAGAAAAAATCTTAGCTTTTCAATAAAAATAAAATAAATAAAAAAAAAATGAGCCCAAAGATGAAAAAAATCACAATTTATTTTTAATTTTCAAAAATTTTGGTCAAAGTATTTTTTTTCCAAAATTGACTAGGGTAAATGTACTAATTACGGCGCGATTCAAGTCAAAATACCTTTGAAATAGAAAGTTCGACATTTCTATTGTATAAAGTGAATTTAAAACTTATTAAACTAAAAGCTTATGTTATTTAGATATTAAAAAAAACTTTTTAACTTTATAAAAATCGATTATTTAAACAAATATGAGAAATTAAAACGAATACCATAATTTTCTATTACGGCGCGTTTCAGTTACAGTGTATCGATTACAATGACCAAAATTATGCGAGTATTTTGAACATACTTTTTCCGCCGTAATTGAAGCCAATGGAAATCTTAAAAATGTGTCAATTACGGCGAGGGAAAAAATTTGATCTCAAATAATTAAATTAATAATTGTTTAAATGTATATCTTTATTAGTAATTGTATCAAAAAAAAATTAAAATATATTTTTTTTTAATCATTTTGCAACAGTTATATTAAATATAATAGTAATAATAGTTATTTTTTTATAAACGCACCGTAATTGATACACTTACCCTACGCGAATCGAAAGATTATAAAAAAATCTAGAGAAATCATTTCTAGAAATTATTTTTTATCTTTTCGTTTAAGTATAATAAATAAACAAAGTATAGCGAATCATGAAAAAATTCAAAACTTTTACCCCCTCCCCTACTATGGCGCACCAGAAGGTGGATTAAATAAAACTGAATTAGCACTTAAAAATTTTTTTTGATTATGATTCTTAGATGAATAAAAAACATTTCTCAATAGTTTTTAAAATCAGTTTACGTTCTCGAATTAAATAAAATTGAGTTTTTATATAAAAACAGTATTTTATATGGAGAATCAGAATTTATTTAATCTAATAAATACTGTAATAAATGATAAAATAATTACATATTTTCAATTTTACATATAAATAATTATATTGCTGTAGTGTTTGTGTCCGATTTTAAAAAATTAAATTATAATGTTAAAAGAACGATTTTAAGAGTGACAAAATTTATTTAAGAGAGTCGAATGATCTCTGAAATTTTTTGGCAAGAAGAGACCTTTAATTATTGCTCTATATAAAAACGCCACTAAACGAGAAAATGAAAACATTGATTTTAAAATACTTTCTTCTCGAAAGACGGACACTTTTTACAAAAGCAGCTAGAGATCCTTATCTTATATAAATTTCCTAAATCCTAAAGATTATACGAATCCATACAAAAACACGATTGCAAAACGAAAAGTAATATAATGAGGGGTTCATTACCTCCTGCCGCCGTCAGATGGCAGCAGCATGCAGGGCGCACAAAGTCGCAGCTGTTATTAGATTACTTTTCTACTTTTTGTTTTGCAACCATGTTTTTCTATCGATTCGTACAGTCTTTTGGATTTAGGAAATTTATAAGATGAGGATTTTGGCTGATTTTGTTAAAAGTGTTCGTGTTTCGAGAAAAAAGTATTTTAAAATCAATACTATTTCACGTTCAGAGCGATAATTAAAGCTCTCTTCTTGCCAAAGAATTTCAGATACCGTTCGACACTCTTAATGCATAAATATAAAAACGAAACAAGAAAATAACTTCATTGTTAATAAATTTATATGAACCCAAATCTAAAACATCTATTATCTGTACGCATATAAGTATACATTAAATAAATTCTGGTTCCTCATAAAATTCTATTTTTAAATATTTAAAACTCAATTTGTTTTAAATTGGGCGCGTAAGCTGATTTTAAAACCTATTGAGAAAAATTTTTCTATTCATCTAAGAACCATAATCAAAAAGAATTTTTAAGTTGCCAATTCATACAAATTCAAACAAATTTAAATTTAAGCTATTTATTAAAGTAAAATTTTTTCTTTTTTTATTAGAATTAATTACAAATGTTTTTTCTACTTGCTTAGGCCCATAAAATAAATTTAAAAAAATTGTCCAAGCAATTATATATATCACAATCTAGAATATCTTAATATTTTGAATAGAAAAATTCCTCTATTGTTAAAGGGCCCAAATCCAGAAGAAATTTTACGAAGCTGAAGTACGCAACGTTTATAATAAACGATTTTTAAAGAAAACATTTTTTAAAATAAAAAATTCTATAATTTTTTGCTTAAAAAATATTTCTTGTAGTTTTTATTAATCAACAAATTATAAAAAAATATTTTTCAGGTAAAAAATTATAGAATTTTTCATTTAAAAAAATTATTTCTTTAAAAATCGTTTAACATAAACGTGGTGTACTTCAGCTTCGTGAAATTTTTGATTAATTATTATAAAATAGGGAACTCCATCCCAAGACCTCCGCACATGTATATCGCCAAAAAACGGATCCCTTCAATTCCTTCCCATTGTCCAACGATTCTCGTGTCTTATCGCACCCTTTGGCGCCTTTTCCCCGAAATAATAAGTTTTTCCTCGAAAGAGGCAGAATCAAAAAGAAAGAAAATTGCGCGAATTTTGAAAATAAATATATCCCTTCAAATAAAAATGAAAAAAAAAAAAAAAAATGTCAACATTACGCGGTATTCCCAAGCGGTCACCCATCCAAGTACTAACCGCGCTCAACGTTGCTTAACTTAAGTGATCGGACGAGAACTTGTTTTTTCAACGTGAAATGAACGTTGACGAATATAATGGTTTTCGAGAAAATAAAAATTTGAAAAAACAAAATTTGGAATTTAATCATGCGCCTCTCTATAAAATTTATTTTATTAACAATATAGAATTTTTTTAAAAGTTATTTTCCGTCAATTTATGTTTCAGTCGTCTAATATTGTTATTGCTAGTAATAATTACATTTAAAACTTGAAATATATTCAAGAAATGTGAAATTAAAAACGTGCAAAAAAAAGTTGTTTAAGTCAATTTAAATTCCAAGAAAAGTCGACTTTTTTTTTTATTTTAATTAAAGTTAATTAGTTAATAAGTATTTTACTTTAAATAATTAATGTTATTAGATATTAAATCCATTTTATTAATTTCTTAATAAGAATAATTCTATAGGAACATTATCAAGAAAATTTATTTCTATTTTAGAATCGAAGATGTGAATTTTTAAAATAATTAAATTTTTACAAATTTAAAAAAAAAATTTAATAATTCAATTTTAGTTTTTATTTGAAATTTTTTAAGTAATTGAATTTTTAAAGATTTATAATTTAGATTTTTGAAATTAATTGACCACCAATTGATATGTTTAATTGAAATTTTTGGTGTTCAAGAATTTATTAGAAATTATTGACAAAAATTGAATTACAAAATTTTTTAATTAAAAAATGCTTTCAAAATAATTTTTTATAATTATTAAAACAAAATTTGTTTTCTTTTATACTCAATTTATTGAATAAACTATAATTTTATAATGAAATGAAAATTTTGTTCTTTTTTAATTTTGTTAGTTCATCATTTTTTCTACTAGAGGTCGCAAAAATAGAACTCTTTTTTTTTTAAATTCCATAAATAAAAATTGTTTACATTACGTTTCACCGGTATTTTTTGTGATAAGACGAATTACGCGTTTATGTGATGATAATAATAAAAGAAAACAATTTTTACCAAGCAGAAAAAATAATTCACATTTTAATATGAAATAATAAAGTAAAACAAAAAAAAAAGAAAATTTTAACAGAAACTTTTTATTACTCACGTGTTTTTATTCCTGTAAAACAGGTTGGAAAGTTTTTAGGTTATATTTATACAGTGATTTGTTGACATCTATAAAATCCTTTTTTTTATGTAATATTACAAAGAAGTTTTATTTTTCATTACATCTTTTTTTTTTTAAATTACCTCTTGTATAAGTAAATAGACAGTATATTGTAAAATATTTATTTTCTGAAATTTTGTTTCGTATAATACAGAAAATTATCAAAGTTGGATTGGTAGACATTCAACCATGATGTATGTACAAATAGATAACTACAATACATGAACTACAAATGGCGCATTAAATAGAAGGCAAAAGAATGTTTCTGTAAATGACCACCAAATAGGCACTACGATCGCTTAGGGTACGCGCACCCACTGGGGCAAAATTATTTCAAAATATTTCATTTTTAATCGATTTCAATAATTTTTTTTTCTTAATTAAATACAAATATTTTTTCTCTTTGATATTTTGCAATTAAAAGTATAGTAATTTAAAAAAGTAACAAACTTGGTGATTATTTTATTTTGGAAAGAATTTACGTTTATTCATATACATATCTGGCCACAAATTATATGACTTTTTCGGCCTTTTTTTCAAAAATACGATTTTTTTTTCAATTAATTTAAATAAGATGCGACTTTTTGACTTTTTTTAAAACATTTTTTCACAAAATACGCCTTTTTTAGTATGAAAATTTTATTTAACTTTATTTCAATTATTTAACAAATTTTTAACTAAAATTTTTCTTTATTTTTAATAATTTTAATGAAATTCTTTTTCAATTAAAAGTTTTATGAAATTCAACAATTATTTACAATTTAAAAAAACAATTAAATAAAATTACAAAAAATTTCAATAACTTTTTAAAATTTATTATTTTTTAAAATTTTCCATCTAAAACTGTTTGAAATTTAATAATTTCAATTATAATTCTTCCAAAATTTAATTATTTTTTAAGGATTTTTATAATATTCTTCAAAAATTTAATTATCTGAAAGCTATTTTCTATTAAAAAATTTTTAAATTCAATTTTTACTTTAATTTTTAATAAATTCTTCAACAACGGAAATCACCAAAAAAGATTTTAATTCAAAATCACTTGAATTCAATTATTTTCAAAAATTTTAATTTATAGAACCTAAACTTAAATTATTTCTAAAAATTTCAAATGTAACTCTTTCAAAATTTAATGATTTTAAATGATTTTTATATTCTGAAAGCATTTTTCTATTAAAAAATTTTTAAATTCAATTTTTGTCTATAATTTTTAATAAATTCTATAGGCACTCTCACACCTTTTTGTTTTTTTTAAATTTAATTATTTCTAAAAATTTCAACTAAAACTCTTAGAAAATTTAATGATTTTAACGCTTAACTGGCACAATTCGAACGTAAATGGCACAGTGGGTCTGCTGAACCCGACGTATTCAAACGTGTACTGTACAGCCGGTATTGAATATTTTTGCACAAAAATTTAATCTGAGGTAGCCTATCCTGTGTTTTTAAAAATTTTATTAGTTTTACAGGGATTAATTTATTTTAAGTTAGTTGAAAAAAATTGTGAAAAATAAAAAACCACAAATTTGCGTGTTTTTACTTAAAAAGTCATGAGTTATTTAAAATTTTAATATTATGACTTAAAAATTTAACGTCATACCATTATTCTTCAAGGAAAAAATTACCACAACAGCTGAATTTGCAAAAAAAAAAAAATTTATTTTGTAGAATAAAATGTGAATTTTTAGGTTAAAATTAAAAATTTATAATTATTAATGTTTGAAGCTAATTTATTCTTTTGTATCGAATTAGTTGTATCAAAAAACTTAGAAAATTACTAAGAGTATAAAAAATATTTAAAAGCTATACGTACAATTAATTAGAGCTGGGAAAAATGATCGGGTCTATTGGACCCATGGTGCCAGTTAAGGGTTAAATAATTTTTATAATATTCTTCTAAAAAAATCGAATTTTCTGAAAGCATTTTTCAATTAAAAAATTTTAAAGTCTTTAATTTTTAATAAAATTCTTCAACAACAAAAATTTCAATTAAAATTCACTTGAATTCAATTAATTTCAAAAATTTCCATGTAAAATCTTCTAAAGTTTAATTATTTATTTCTAAAAATTTCAACTGTAACTCTTCCAAAATTTAATGATTTTAAATGATTTTCATAATATTCTTCAAAAATTCAATTATTTGAAAACATTTTTCAAATAAAAAATGTTTTTGAAATTCAATTTTTGTCTGTAATTTCATTATTTTTCATTTTAATTTTTTGTCTTTCAATATCACCAAAAAATTTCAATTAAAAATCACTTGAAGTTGAATTAATTTCAAAAATTTGAATTATAAAATCTTTAAATAAAAATTAATTATTTCAAAAGGTTTCAAATAAAAACTCTAAAATTGAATTTTGTTATCAGAATTTTTTTTTCAAAATTTGTCCTATACTTAATTAAAATTTTTTAAAATTTACCTCTTCGATTCTAAAATAGAAATAAATTTTCTTGATAATATTCATGTGCGATTCCAAGTGAGATTTTGACTTTTTCGGAGTTTAGGTAAACCGATTGCAATGAAACTTTGGAATTTTGTTATATATAGTAAGACTAATCTTTAACTTAAATTTCAGCTTAAAATATTTGTTAGTTTACGAGATTTGCAATAATAACAAAAAATTTTAAACTGCTATATCTTCCGTTCTAATAATCGGATTGAGGTCTACTTTTTTTTAAAAATGTCAAGGAAAATGAGAGGAATAAATCTCTTTTAGAACAATTTTTTATAATTTTATAACTAAAAAAAATATTCAATAATAATTGAATAAATTTCACGCGACAATCTAAAATTCAATCACTTAAACGCTAAAATGATCTTATCAGTGTTTTCTTTAATATTCCAAAGGAATCCAATTGTAAATGCAAGTTTAACTTGTTTAATTTTAATAATTTACGAGTATAAACAATTGCGATTTCTGCTAGTTGACGTGCAGACGACATTGCGCACGCAGCATTCTCCTGTAACCAGCTGACGTGATTCGTGGACTAAATTGGCTACGTGAGAATGCTGCGTGCGCAATGTCGTCTGCACGTCAACTAGCAGAAATCGCAATTGTTTATACTGGTAAATTATTAAAATTAAATAAGTTAAACTTGCATTTACAATTGGATTTCTTTGGAACATTAAAGAAAACACAGTTAAGATCATTTTAGCGTTTAAGTGATTGAATTTTAGATTGTCGCGTGAAATTTATTCAATTTTTATTGAATAATTTTTTTAGTTATAAAATTATAAAAAATTGTTCTGAAAGAGATTTATTCCTCTCATTTTCCTTGACATTTTAAAAAAAAAGTAGACCTCAATCCGATTATTAGAACGGAAGATATAGCAGTTAAAATTTTTTTGTTATTATTGCAAATTTCGTAAACTAACAAATATTTTAAGCTGAAATTTAAGTTAAAGATTAGTCTTACTATATATAACAAAATTCCAATGTTTCATTGCAATCGGTTAACCTACTCCGAAAAAGTCAAAATCTCACCTGGAATCGCAATTAAAATTTTTTAAATTTACCTCCTCGATTTTGAAATAGAAATAAATTTTCTTGATAATATTCATATATAGAATTATTCTTATTAAGGAATTAATAAAATAGATTTATTATCTAATAACATTAATTATTTAAAGTAAAGTACCTATTAACTAATTAAATGTAATTAAAACAAAAAAAATTGACTTTTTTTTTTAAATGTAAATCTCGACTAAAACGATTTTTTTTTCTTGTCTATTGTAATCATTTTACTCATTGTCCCCCAGTTGCTAGGCAACACGACGCTATATAGAATCCAACATCAGGCACGTGTATAATATATAGATATATGTATACATATACATGTGTTCCACTAGTTCAATATTGAGTTCAGTAGGTTCAGTACTCAGGGTATTCGCATTTCGTAGTCTCATAATTCATTATATTATATGTGTATATTTCGTCGTATATAAATAAAGAAAAGTGAATTGACGATAGATAATTAAATTTTACAGTGAAAAATCGAAATAATATTCGTTGTAAATTATTATCACACTATATTATTCTTGAAAGAGGCAAGTCTTTATTGTGTTTTATATTTTAACCCTCTTCCTGCAAATCAATACAAAAATAAAAACACGCAATAATTTAATATTCTTGTAAAAGGAAGTGAATTTTTTTTTTTTAAACAATATCTATAAAGACATGTAATTCAAAACCTATTTTTTTTAACAATTGATTTTTTTCTTGCTAATTTATATATATATATAGTACATAGAAGGCAAGTAAAACCCATGGCAAAATTTTGATCAAGTTAAACGTTTATAGACTTTAAGTTTTAATACAACTTTAAATACCAAAGATTATTAATTTATTTAAATAAATGAGAAAGTAAATTTTCAAAAATTGATAAATCCATATTTTGTTATTTCGAGAAATTTAAAATGACTTTTTTCACATAATCAGTTACATTAATTTTATAAAAAAAGAAAAAATTGTTATAAATTATTTATATAAAAATGATTTTTCAATTTCATACATTTTGTTTTTGATAATTAAATTCTATTAAAATTGGAAAATTTTAGTAATTTTTTCCATAGGGAAAAAGATATTTAAAATTATTTATAATTTCTTTGAAATTTTGGCAATTTTTTTAGAACAGGAAAGAAAAAACAATAGATTTTTATAAAATAAATTTTAAATTAAATCGCAAAAAAATTGATTTTTTAAAAAAAATTTTCGCAAAATTGTTTTATCAAACGCTCATTTTTTTTTTTTATTATTTTATTGTAAAAGATGTTAGACTTTTTTTAATGAAAATAAAAATAAAGAATAAAAAAGCACAAATTAAATAAAAACTGAAAAATAAGACTTATTGAAAAAATTTGGGATTACAAATATTTTTTTGCAAAAACATTTTTTGGCATTAAAAAGTACATGAAAAATTGTTAAAAAAAACTTACTTAAAAATTTAAATAATTTTTTATTAACCCTTAACTGGCACCATGGGTCCAGTAGACCCGAGCATTTTTTCTCGCTCAAATTAATTGAATTTGAATATTTTTTATATTTTTTATTAGTTTGTCATATTTTTAGTAATTTTCTAAGTTTTTTGATACAAATAATTCGATACAAAAGAATAAATTAGCTTCAAACATTAATAAATTATAAATTTTTAATTTTAACCTGAAAATTCACATTTTATTTTGCAAAATAATTCCTTTTTTGC